GGATTATCTACCATTTACAGACATCGTTTTTCCCCAGATAGCTGGAAGCTATAGGGGTTCTTACTTCTCAAAAGTCATGTCTTCGGTGGGAAGTCTGGCAAAGGTGCTGTGCAGAGTGCTGTGCAGGCGGTGTCCGGTGCAGGGTGCTGTGCAGGTGCTGTGCAAGCTGCTGTGGCTGCTGAAGTGTGGCTGCTGCGTGGCTGCTGTTCACAGTGCGGTGACGTGTCTGGCAAAGATGCTGTGCAGGTTGCTGTGCAGGTTGCTGTGGGTGCTGTGAGGCTGCTGCTCACAGAGTCTAGCAAAAAAGGTCGTGCAGGGTAGGCTCCTGTCCAGAGTGCGGTGGCGCTGCGCAGGCTGCTGTGGCTGCTGTAAAGGTGCTGTGCAGGTTGCTGTGCAGGCTGCTGTCCAGAGTGCGGCGGCGAGGTCTAGCAAAGGTGGTGTGGAGGCTGCGCTGTGCAGGGTGCTGCGCAGGGTGCTGTGGAGGCTGCTGTGGGTGCTGTGAGGCTGCTGCCTACAGTGTCTCAGCTCTTCCCAGCTCACTGGGCCAAAACTTGCTCCAAAACCGGATCCCAGCACCAAAAGCCACAAAAAGTACGATTTTGAAGCCTTTTAAAACGAAAATGGAAAGTGTCAAAAGCGAGAAAAATCATCAATAACTCATTGGCGCAATTTTGGCGCAACTATTCCAATGGGATCTGCAAGCAGCAAGTTACCATGGAACTATGCGCGCGGCAGCAACATAGAGTAACAATGACGCAGCCACTCCAATGAGATTTGCAAGCAGTGAGGCGCAAAAGACCAAAGAACTACGCACGTAACAGCGACGCGGAGCAACATTGATGTAGCCCGTCCACTGCAATTTGCAAGCACCAGAGTGCAGAAGCCAGTAGAATTAATTACGTTGGCAAGACAGAAGCTCCTGGCCAAGACCTGCTCCAAAACTGGATCTTGGCGCCAAAAGCCGAAAAAAGTGCGATTTTGAAACCTTTTGAAAAAGGACATTTAGAAGGAAAACGAAAGGCGCCAAAAACGAAAAAAACAGTAATTAAACTGCAACTTCAACTTGCGAAAATGAAGCTTTCGTGCGAGACCTCAAAAAGTGAAAGTTGGAGATGTGAAAACGAAGCTTTCGTGCGAAACTTCCCTCAAAAACTCAACTGTGAAGATGTGAAACCGAAGCTTTCTTGGGAGACATCCCTCAAAAGCTGAAAGTTGAAGTTGTGAAAACGAAGCTTTCGTGCGAGGCTTCCCTTAAAAACGAAAGTTGGAGATGTGAGAATGAAGCTCTCGTGTGAGACTTCCCTCAAAAACTGAAAGTTGAAGTTATTGAAAACGAAGCTTTCGTGGAAGACTTCCCTCAAAAATTGAAAGTTGAAATTGCTGTGACAACCATTGCTGTGACACTCGTTACTCGTTGCTGTGACAATCACTGCTGTGACACTCATTGCTGTGCTGCCGTCACTGTCAGCAACTCGTTGCAGTGACAACCACTGCACTGACATTCATTGCAGGGCAAGAGTCAAGAGGATCAAAAAAAAATATTATTAGGAACAAAAAATACTCCCAGGGAATCAAAAATAAAGTATTATTGGGATCAAAAAACTTGCTGGCCTGCAAGTACACCCAAACCAACCCCTCCGACCAAATTCAACTTCCCCTAACTATTTCCCCACCTGTCAGGTGAGGGTTGTTAGATTTTATGTTAGCAAGCCAGCCTCCTTCTCCTCATCCTCCTCCTTCCTCCGTCGAACCTCAACTGCAAGCTCTAGAACCGGACCCCCACAACTCGCCGGACTTCCACGGATCAGAGTGTTCCCCGCCGGACCTCAGCCGTGAGCTCCGGATGTTGAACATATGGCAGAAAAATGCCAGGTAGGATGCCAGAGAAAATGTCAGTATAGATGCCACAAAGCATGTCAGATAGGATGTCAGAATAGATGCCAGATAGAATGCCAGAATAGGCTGTCAGATAGAACGCCAGATCAGAATCTCAGAAGATTATACCATATATATTTCCAGGTGATATGTCAGAAACTATGACAAATAAGTGTCAGGGTGGGGGTTACTCGAAATAAAGTAATTGTCTATGTGATTTTCCGATGTTTATGGCTTTCACCGGTTCCTCCATGGTTTTCATCGTTTTTCCATGGCGTTCCAAATGCTCGATGGTTTCGATCGATTTTCCACGGTTTCATCGTTTTTTTACATGAACAGGTTGTTCCATTGTTTTCATTGGTTTTTCCATGGTTCATATTGGGTTCTCGATGGCTTTGAGCAATTTGACCGTGGTTTTCATCGAAAATTCGATGGTTCTCATTGTCCATGGTTTTCATCGATGTTCCATGGTTTTTGGTCGGTGTTTCCATGCTTTTAATCGATTGCTCGATGGTTTTCATCGGTTTGTTTGTGGCTTCATCCAATGTTTTCTATGGTTTTCATCGGTTTCTTTGATGGTTTTCATCGACGTCTCGATGGCTTAGGGTTCATTTAGGGTTGGTTTAGGATCTATTTGTGGTGGGTTTCAGGCGTATGGTCTATTTTAACTTCGTTTTGGGTTACATTAGTGTTTTTTTAGTGATGCGATGTGTGTAAAGTAAACAAGTAATTATTATATATATATTATGTATATATTCAATATATACCGTATCTGTTTACGTATATGTATGTGTGGATGTATGTAAATGTCTGCAATGTCTGTCTGTCTGCCTGCCTGCCTGCCTGCCTGTCTGTCTGTCTGTGTCTGTCTGTCTGTCTGTCTGCCTGGCTGTTTGTCTGTGTCTGTCTGTGTCTGTCTGTGTCTGTCTGTCTGTCTGTCTGTCTGCATGCATGCATGCATGTATGTATGTACCTATCTGTGTGCATGTATGTACCTATCTTTGTGTATGCATGTACCTATCTGTGTGTATGTATCTTTGTATTTACATCAATATATATATAATGCGCGCGTGTGTTATGTATGTGTGTGTGTAAGTATGTATGTGTTTATGTATGTACGTTGTACGTATATGTGTCTATTTGTCTATTTGTATGTGCCCTATGCCGATGCCCATATACATTTTTTTTCGAAGGAAGTTTAGAAGTCAAACTTCCAACAATATGGACAGATGGAAAAGAAGAGGTGGTAAGAGTTAGAGAGGAGAAGAGCAGAAGAGAGAAGATCAGAGAAGAGAAATCATGAGAAGAAAGAAGATGCAGGTGCGCATAAAGGGAGGAAAGTCGCGAAATGCTGTGTTTTTCCAATGGTTTGTGGCTCCGGGGGGCGAATGCGGAGCCATCTGGCCAGATGAGAGATGAAAAGTTGCACGCCGGTGTGGCGCGAAGCACATGTCCAAGTCAAAATGTACAAAACACACCAGGGTCGGAGCACCTGTTGTGTCGAAAAAGTGCAAGCCGTTGTGCCGCAAAGCACATTTAGAAGTCAAAAGTGCCAAAAACAGACGGCCTCGGACCACTTTTGGACGTTCAGATGTCGTTTCGTGTGGCCGGTGCAAGGGATTCTTTTCATTGTCAACGAGGGTTTTTGTGGCATTTCCAAAAACGATGGCAGGCGCGGGACATTCGAAGAGGATCTGGAAAGATGCATTTCGCGTGGCAGGCGCAGTACAAAAGACATGCTCATCAGAGATATTAAGAGGTCTGGGCACTGATTTCCTAAGAGGGGTTGCGTGACAGGTGCAGCACTTTGTATGACCTGGCATCACTTTTTCGTGGCAGGCGCAGAACTTTAGACAGATGGAGCGGAAAAAGCGCAAACCGCATTGGTACGAGGCCGTCAGCTCTGCACCCAACTTTCTATTTTTGAAGGACGTCTCGCAGAATTGCTTCATTTTTGATGTTGTCAACTTGAAAAATTGAGGAAGTCTCGCAGAATAGCTTCTTTTTTGATGTTGTCAAGTTCAAAAGTTGAGGAAGTCTCGCAAATTGCTGCGCTTTTGATGTTGCCAAGTTCAAAAACTGAGGAAGCCTAAGATAGACAGATAGATAGGTAGACTACACTACGCTACACTAATTAAACTACACTACAACCTCAACTACACTACATTACACTACACTACACTTTACCACACTACAGTACACAACACTACAGTACACTACAACACACTACACTAAATACACCACAACTACAACCGCAACTGCAACTACACTACACTAAATTACACAACATTACAACTGCAACTTACAACTGACAACTGCAACTCCACTACACTACACTACACTACAACTACAGCTACAACTGCACTTCACCACACTACATCCAGCAGTTGTGGTGAGGTGACCACGGCAAACATTGCAACCACTCCAAAAAACACAACTCCAACCACCTTTCCGTCCATCAGTGGATTCGCTCTGCCATCCGTGGTTCACAACAACCAACCTCTCCTATAGGTTTCCTATTTTTGAAACTTCCGCCACCGCCTTGTGCGGTACTACTGGTGTATATATATATGTGTGTGTATATATATATATGTGTATATATATATGTGTGTATGTATATGTATATATGTATATCTATTTATATGTATATATATAATATCTATTTATATGTATATATATATATGTGTGTGTATCTTGATCCTAGAAATAGTTTTTTGATCCTAACATGTTTGATCTAGATGCCTCATGGCAATGAAGTGACACTCAACGCATTGCCAACCATTGCAGTGACGATCATTGCAGTGACAGTCATTGCAGTGACAGCCATTGCAGCAACATCCATGGCAGTGACATCCAAAGATCCGCAACACGGAAGCATAGACTTCTAAACTTCTTTTGACGAAACATGTGCACATGTGTACCAGTTTATTTAAATATGTGCGCATGTACAATGTACAATTTTACATACATCTATACGAATTCTGTATGTCTGTATCTACTGTATATGCGTGTATACACATATATATATATGTACATATACCGACCGTAGTATGATCGCATGGACAACTCATCGGGGCCACTTCAAACTTGGGGCAGACCACCCGGCAGTGCACTTACCAAAGCACCGCAGACGCAGCTTCCGAGCCCTCTTCACGATACCTGCTGATCGTTGATGTGGCGGTGTATCAAAACCCTGGTACCCTGGTGAACCCAAAAACGCTGGCAAATGAATGTTAATGCCCTCCAGATATGGTAGGTATAATAAGGTATTATTAATGGGGGCGTTGGACACTCTTGGGTATTTTGGTATGGGGGGTGTCAATGGGATACAACTAACCAACATGATACTTGGGTAGTCCCATTTATGGCCGTTTAACAAGGGAAATGATGATGATCATTGGATTTGGGGATACACTATTTTTCAAACAAATCCAGGTGAGGGAACAAAACCCTGGTGGCCAGAAATCTAGCTGCGAGTCGCGGACAGGAGTTTAAAGTCCACCAACAGCTTTGGTATAATTTGGTACCCCTATGTAGCGGCACAACGTTTGTAAATCGTATCCAAGTTGTAAAGCAACGGAATGCAGAATTTCAGGTATCAACCTCTAACTTTCATTCTTGATCTTGGATGCCAAGGCAGAATGTCGGGCGCCTGAAGCGCCCTGGCAAGCTGTTGGCATCGTGGCCGTCGCCGCCAAAGAGAATCTGCCGCAGTTCCACGTGGCTAATGGAAGATCGCTGCGCCTCACAGGCTTGGGGGTCCCATGCAAATTCCACTGGGTCAATCAATGTCAACTCCCTATCAGAATAAATAGCCATGAATTGAAACTATACCCCATTTTCAAACCCAAAAGGGCCCAAACCCCGGGGATTTTGCCAAGAAAGAGGGGGGTCCTTGGAAAATAGATGGATATCATGGGGATCGAATACGTTTTTATGGGGGTGTCCAAACAACCAGGAAAATAATGAAAAACAATCAGATTTTTGGGGGCACGGGTGCGCCCCATTTTTGGACAAACCAAGTAGTGGTTTCAAACATCAATAAACAAACTCTGAAATAAGCCATACAAAGGCGTGGTTCGCTATAGTGATTATCATCAAGGCGAAGGAATGAAGATTAAACTTGCAAAAATTGGTTTCTCGAAATTAGAAAACTTTCGTACAAAACCGAATGGTTTTTAAAGCTAATGTTCCCGCTTTGACAAAGCCACAAAATGGAATATCCACATGTTGAGGCCATTCCAAATGGGGTTAGGGATCAGCACAGGAAGAGGTGTAGAAAATGGCGGATGTGTCAACGTTGTTGGCTCCGCTGAACATCTTTAGAAGCCTCCAAATTCAGTATCGCTAAGTGCTCCACGTTACAACACATTCTTAAATGTTTGAGCCTAAGCTTCACCTATCACCATCTGTTCACTTGGATCCACCACTCTGGCCAACGGTGCAATGGCTGGTTTTATCAAGTGAGGCGTCATAAGTTGTTGGGAGGTTCACCGCACATTTGTATCACCGCCACCCACATACTTTGAACGCAAATGGAGTCCAACCGACTTGGAAATCCAGCATGTTGTTCATTTAATTCACCCTTTCTCGATTCGAAAACCTGGGGAAATGGAAAAATTTACCAAATTGCATGGGTAAAATATGCTTCAAAAACCATGTACGTATGTATGTAAGTATATATGCATGCATGCATGCATGTATGTATATATGTATGCATGTATGTACGTATGTATGTACGTATGTACGTATGTACGTATGTACGTATGTACGTATGTATGCATGTATGCATGTATGCATGTATGCATGTGTGCATGTATGTTATGTTATGTTGTGTTGTGTTGTGTTATGGTATATTATGTTAGGTTATGTTATGTTATGTTATGTATGCATGCATGCATGTATACATATCTGTATTGAAAAGTTGCAGGCAGCTGTTGAACAGCCCGTTGCACTGCTGAGGCTGCGCACTGTTGCAGCAATCCCTTTGTTGCACACGCTGTATCGTTGTACTGCCAACCTGTTGTCTTAACAGTTGACTTCAGGGCTGACTCAAGACTGACTGCAGGCCTAGTGTTGGGCCAAGATGTTGACCATCGGTATGAGTGGCATACACAATGTTGATACTTATCACCCCCTCTTGAACTGGCGCTGCAGTTTGTTACACACCACTTTCATCACTATAAACATGTTGAACTGGAATTACATTAATGTTGTGATATGGCTGGGAGTTCCAAACTTTACACTTACAAGCTGTTGCACGGACTAAATCTGCTGTCTGGCAAAGATGTTGAGATGCCAGTCTACAGACTGGTCGACGCACTCAGGTGTTGGCCATCCCTTCATGCTCTGTTACTGCTTCATGCCTGTTGGCACTTGGAGGTCCGGGTTGGCCGTACTCAGCGTTGTCTCACTCTGCCATTCTTGTTGATTGGTAGAGCTGGGACTCTTCGAGCTGTTGCTCCTTGATGTCGTCATCTTCCACTTTGATCTCGGCACGGTGGTAGTTGTTCCACTGTTCTGCCCATTTTTCAAACGTTGCGGCCGTGTTAGAGTACTCCAGCACTCGGCTGTTGCCACGTAGGCTCTCGAGTGTTTTGGCGCCGTGTGCCGGCAGTGTTGCTGTGTTGATCTCTAGCTTTGGGTGATGGATGTTGAGCATGGGCACGATTCTTGTGAGCTCTGTTGGCCCCAGGCGCACCTATGTTGATGACGTTGCCTCCCACGCAATGATCCTGCTGGCATCTGTTGGGACACCATGAAATCAGGACGTGATCAGTTGTTTTTGTTCCGTCATGTGGAACACCCTTGCTTCCACAGCTTCACCGGGCCTTGTGGAATGAATTTGTTTATCCCATGTTGGCATGAGATACCTCCCAGAGAACCCGTTGATCTGGTCCGTTGTTGGGCCACGCATGGATTTTGCCACTTCCAGTGTTGTGACCAAGAACCAAGTCTCCATGCTGTTGGCTTGTCTGTTGTTGCTCCATTCTTCTGGCCTGTGCTGTTGGGATTCACAGCCTCTGAAGACTGGATTGTTGAAGCCACTACGATGTTGGCCCCAGACAAAGTGCCTGTGGCAGGCTGGACATATGTTGGCTCTCCAGTCACCGCAATGTTCGTGAGCGAGGTCATGTTGAACGCACAAGGTCGATGTTGTCGGCAATCTGTTGGACCAAAAAAAGCTGCGGGAACAGTCATGACGTTGCCACTGTTGTCAACAAAATGTTGACATCCAAAACTTGCACAAATCGAATTGTTGAATTCTTCAGGCTGCTGAGTTCCAAGCATGTTGTGTATCACAGACATGTTGTGCGGGGCGTGTACAATACTTCATCATGTAGTGCGCAGTTCCATGTTGAAATAGTACATGTCGAAACTCACGCTGAAAAACTTGAGGGGATGTCGTGGTGATATACTCGAAGATGTAGTCGCAGCAAAAGGTTGATCACCTATTGTTGATCCCATGGCTGAGGATAGTGAAACTTGTATGTGTTGGCGCACTCACGCTGCAGTAAATGATGGTGTTGCTGCTCGCTTGTTGCAAGCTGCTGGTGAAACTGTTTGCTTGTGGTTTCAGTGAATGTTGAAGAGCTGGATGACAGATCCAGCTTGTTGAAGGTGTCGTTGCAGAGTCTCTGTTGAGACACGGTTGGTCAATATGTCTGCTGGGTTGCCATTTGTGTGGATTTTGATCAGTCTCATGTAGTCGTGTGAGATCAGCTGTTGGGTGAAAAGATGTTTCAGTTCAATATTTTTGCCTATATTGAATATCCAATCCTTGTGGCCATGCTCTTGCCGCTAGGGTGCGTCTGTGTGGATCTTGATGCTGATCTTGTTGTGTGCTTCTGCTGCGCCAGTGTTGATGGCATACAGCTCAGCCTCCGCACTAGAGAGTGCAATTGTTGCCTGTGTTCTGCTTCCATAGCTGGTTGTTGTTCCATGCAATGTGATAAGAAGTCCTGTTGTGGATCTCTTTGTTTTGGGACATCCTGCACAATCGCTGTCCACGTAAGCGCTGAGGTCAGGAACTGCTTTTGCTGGAAGCGTCTGCTTGTAGTGCTTTGTTCCTGTTTGAGTGTACTTGAGAAGGCGCTTGTGCATGTCATCCGTTGAAGTTTCCCGACTGCTCGTCTGTACTGAGCATGTTCCTCTGTTGAAAGTGGTTGGTCATGGTTTGCTGTTGCTGTGTTCAGTGCTGGCGTGCCTGGTGCTGGTGCTGGCTTGCCATCCTGCAGGTTTGTTTCTGTCAGGAGTGTTGTGATATAGTCATCTGACAAGCTGATCTCGTAGTGGTCTCCTCTGTTGGTAAAGTTCCTGCCAGGAAATGCCACTGTCACTGTGTTTCCTGTCGAAAGCGTACGTGTTGGTCGTAAAAAAACTGCTGTTGGATCGCCTTGAAAAGCGTGTTGACGGTCTGTTCCTCTTCAAGATAAAGTAGGTCGTAAACGTAGACCAAGACGAAGCAGTTGCAAGTTACTTGTTGTCATGTAGATGTTGGGTTCCGCTGTGCTGCGGTGAAGTCCGATCTGTTGAAAGACTTCTGCCAGGTGTTTCTGCCAAACTTTTGGACTGCTGCGTGGTCCGTAGATTGCTTTCAGCAATCTCCACACAATGGCGGGTACATGTAGAGGTCCGCTGTTGCTGCTGCCGCATGTAAAAATGCTGTTGGTATGCCTCCTGTCTGGCCAATCCATCCGTTGTTGCATGCTAGTGTGAGGAGTGTTCTCAACACACGGAAAGTTGGTGTTGACGCGTAGATGCCATCCAAGTCAGCCACTGTTTCTGTGAATCCCTTGCAAAAAGCCTTGCTCGGACCTTGTTGCCCTTGTCGCGTTGGATGTTGATGTCAACCGCCATGTATACCTGCAGTTGCTTCATCGAGGGGATCTCCTGCTTCATTTCTTAAAATGTTTTCTGCTTGTCAAGTCCATCAGTGTTGTTCATGATGGGTTCGAGGAGAACCGTGCCTGTTTGTTGCTCTACTGCGTCCTCACAGGAGTAAACTGTGATCTCCTCTCCTTGTTTCGTTTGGCTGGTGACCTTTGTGATTCTGAGTCTCTCTTTGGCTGTTCTGGTGTTGGTTCTGGATGGGCTGGTGCTTCCTGCTTTGTGGCTGTTCGTTGCTGCTTTGTTGCATGTCCTTCTGCTATTTGATCTGCCCCATGTCGCCTTGGCGGTGATGGCATTGCTGGTCTGCAGTGGCAACTTGCTGGTGGTGTTAATGCCTTAAGGCTCGTCTGCTATTGATCTTGGTGGTAATTGTGGTCCACCTGTTGGTGCTGGAGTTGTTGTCACGTGTTCCTTGGATGTCTGCGTCTCTGTCGCTGTTGCTGGTCATCTGGCTGAATGGAAGACCATCGCTGGACCATCGGTGTCATGGTATGTTCTGCTGATGATGTCAAACATCTGTTTGTCGTACTTGTCTGGCTTGGGCATGCGTCTGACTGTTCTTGCTCCAACAGTAACAACCTTGTTGCCACCCAGGAGTGTTTCTCCTGTTGCTGTGTCTCTTCCAAGCCAGATGGCTTCGAAGAAACGTTGTTCCATTTTGGAAGTTGTTTGACTGTTGGTAGTAAGTATTGTACTGTTTCTCCTAACTCGCAGAGTGGCGCTCTGTGGTCTTTGTTCAATCTGCGGAAAAAGTTGGTGTTGCCATCCGCGTTAATGAATCTACTAACTTAGTAGATTTCCTGTTGGTTTGGGGGCACGAACTTTGACCCCCTCAACTCCAGTTCTGGTGCCCAAAAACAGTGGGAGATGAGCAACCTAGGAAGGAGTTGCTGGTGTCAATTTTGGAAGCCTTTTAAACAGGAAAATTGCCAATCCGCGTATGTTGCGTACCTGTTGAGTAGATACGCGGGCGCCGTACCAGCCATGGTACGATTCGGTGTTTGCTGGCGGTTGTCCTGTCGTAGTTTTGTTGTAGTTGGGCTCTCGGTGTTCTGATTTGTCCCATCAGTGTTCGATGGAACCGATCAACGCTGCCCTGTGCTTGTGAGCTGTATGCTGGTGATTGCCTGACGATGATGTTGCTGCCCATCTTGCTTGCTGCTGTTTGCAGAACTGCTATCATGTGATCTTCTTGGTCTGACTGTAATATAGTGCTGTTGAATACTGCTTGTACTCTGCCGCACTCCATGAGGGATGATTGGCTGCATTGGGCATGGTATTGAAAGTCTTGTGTTTGTCTCCTACCACTGTTGCCATAACCATGCCTGTTTCCGCATCAATCCCGGTGAGGATTGCGGTTGTTGTTGGTTCTCCTGCTGCCTTGAAGTAGCAGAAGTCAAATTGTACCACTGGCATTTTTGCTCTCCTGTTTTGGGTGGTTGTCTGCACTACCCCTGTTGGCGACGCATGTTGGACACCAACTTCTGAAGGGTAGGTGTGTGAGTTCCTGCTCTGCTCTCTCCTGTTGCATTGGTTGTGCTAGTGGTGTAAGTCCTCTTGCTGGCTTTGCTTGTTGCGGATCTTCTTCATCCAAGTCGTGTACCTGGTGTTGCATCTAATTGCGCAGGTGCTTGCAGCGCAAGTTGTTCGCTGCACTGCATTGACTTGTGTTAGGTCGTTGGTCCACCAATAGTTGTCATAGGTGGTTTGTGGTCCATGCCACTGCTCTGTTGCATCGTCATATCCTTCTTGGACGTCCTCCTGAATGCTGTAGACTGCAATTCTACAGTCTTTTGCCATGTGGCCTGGTTGACCACATCTGCAGCAGCCTGTTGTATATCCTTTTCCTTTGCCGGTTGCCTTTCTTTCTTTCGAGTTATTTCACGGTTATGTTCATCTCAGCCAGCCAGGGACTGGAAATCATGTCTTTTTGTTTTGTTCATGTTTTTCATTTTGATCATCGTTTTTTGGATTGAAAATTATCATTCCCTTTTTATCCCCGTTAAGTTTTTCATGTTTTCTCATTCCTGTTGTTCCTCCCTTTGGCATTTTCATGTTCCTTTCCTTTGCTTCGAAAATGGTCCTTGGTCCTTGGGAAATGCCGGCAGGAGCTTTTTCTCCAACCCTTTTCGTTTTTTTCTTTTTTTTCGTTTTGGCTATTTTTCCTCCTTTGCCTTCAAAATTGACCTTGGAAATTGTCAAAAGGAGCTTTTTCTCAAACCTTTTTCGCGGTTTTTCCTTTTTCCATTTTGGCTATTTTTCCTCCTTTGCCTTCAAAATTGACCTTCAAAATTGTCAAAAGGAACTTTTTCTCGAACCCTTTTCGTTTTTTATCCCCACCTGCCAGGTGAGGGTTGTTAGATTTTATCAGAGCTGTTCTCCTCATCCTCCTTCTCCTCCTCCTCCGCCTCCTCCGCCTCCTCCTCTTCCTCCTCCTCCAGTTTCTCCTCGACCATGTCTGCATCAACTTCCACGTCCACTTCGGCCTTGCCAACTCGTCGCCAATCTCTTCGCCAACTTCCGCGCGCAGTGGGCACTGCTGGACCTCAACTGCCAGCTTCCGATCTGAGTGGGCACGGCTGGACCTCAACCGCCAGGTTCTGAGCGCAGTGGGCACCGCTGGACCTCAACTGCCGGCTTGAACGCCAGATAGAATGTCAGAAAGATGCCAGAAGATATACCAGATAAAATTCCAGAAGATATGCCAGATAGAATGCCAGAAGATATGCCAGATAGAATGCCAGAAGGTATGCCAGATAGAATGTCAGATAGAATGCCAGAAGGTATGCCAGATAAAGTGCCAAAATGTTTGCCAGATAGAACGCCAGAAGATTTGCCAGATAAAGTGCCAGATAGAATGCCAGAAGATTTGCTAGATAGAATGCCAGATAGAATAGAATGTCAGAAGATATGCCAGAAGATATGCCAGATAGAGTGCCAGAAGATATGCCAGAACATATTGCAGAAGATTTGCCAGGTATAATGCCAGAAGATATGCCAGATAAAATGCCAGAAGATATGTCAGATAGAATGCAAGAAGATTTGCCAGTAACAAAACGTATAAATGTCATGGTGGGGATAACTCGAAGTAAAGTAATGTTCCGTTTTTTTCATTTTGGCTATTTTTCCTCCTTTGCCTTCAAAATTGACCTTGGAAGTTGTCAAAAGGAGCTTTTTCTCGAACCCTTTTCGTTTTTTCCCGTTTGTTTTTCGTTTTTCCCGAGAGCGTCTGAGCGCAGGGTTCTTCCAATAGTGGGGGATTGTATCTCATCTTCTCATCTTCTCATCTTCACATCTTCTCATCTTCACATCTTCTCATCTTCACATCATCATCTCATCTTCTCATCTTCTCATCTTCACATCTTCTCATCTTCACATCTTCTCATCCTCACATCTTCTCATGTTCACATCTTCTCATCTTCACATCTTCACATCTTCACATCTTCACATCTGCTCATCTTCACATCTTCTCATCCCACATCTTCACATCTTCACATCCTCACATCTTCACATCTTCTCCTCTTGCCTTCTTGCCCTCTTGCCCTCTTGCCCTCACATCTTCACATCTTCTCCTCTTGTCCTCTTGCCATCTTGCCCTCTCCTTCTTTTCTATTTCTCTTCTGAAGGCGGGGGCAGGGGCAGTGCCAACGAGACGGCACGAAACGCAACCCTTTCGCACGAAATGAGGTTCGATCACCAAAAACTGAAGTAAAATTGCGATTTCAACTTCTCCCGCACGAAATGAGGTTCGATCGCCAAAAACTGAGGTAAAAATGCGATTTCAAGTTGTTCCGCGCAACCCTTTCGCATGAAATGAGGTTCGATCGCCAAAAACTGATGTAAAATTGCGATTTCTTCTGTGTGTAAACGTGTCTGTGTAAAAGCTGCTGTGTGCTGTGTGTAAAAGCTTCTGTGTGTAAAAGCGCCTGTGTGTAAAAGCGTCTATGTGTAAAAGCGTCTGTGTGTAAAAGCTTCTGTGTGTAAAAGCTTCTGTGGCTAAAAGCTTTTGTGTAAAAGTGTTTGTGTGTAAAAGCGTCTGTGTGTAAAAGCGTCTGTGTGTAAATGCGTCTGTGTGTACAAGCGTCTGTTTGTACTTGCGCTATATTGTCTTGATACTCCTCTTCTCGTATGCCTATAACACATCTTTAATATATTGTTTTGTAATATGGCGTCTCCATACTAACAAGAGAAGACCCTGCTCCTCGGTGCTAATGCTTTCGCTAGTTTGTCCTTGGCCTCTTCTCTGGGGCCTGGTGTCCTAGGGCTAGGGCTAGGGGCTGCTGCAGGGGCGTCATGTGGCCTTTTCCTTGGGGCTCATCCAGCCCCAGCTTCTCAACTTGTTGAGGTAGTCCGTGCCCAACCATCCTATGCTCCCTTTCGTGGCGCCTGATGGTGGCCCAAACGTTGAAGAAAACCCCAAGTCCAGCTCTTCCGGTTCAACTTGAGGAGGTAGTGGAGGAAAGTTGCCTAGGTGCTCCGCCTACTCCCTCTTCGCCTGATCAGACTCGCCAGACCTGTGCCTGTTTGGGTTTCCCGCGAGGATAGGAGATTGGAGTGTAGCGTTGTTCTGTGCTGCCCCAAGGCCCGCTCCTTGCCAGCTTGAATCCCTGGCTTGGCTCGTGCGCCTGGATGCGGGTGTGCTCTTCAGCGACGCGCAGCAACCCCAGCAAGTCGTGCAGGCCCATGTCAACAGCAAGACGTGGCCGATGGCATCTGTGACCACCAGCCACAAGAAAGGTCAACTGATCGGCACTCGACATCCTAGTTCTACACGAATGTTCAAAGAATTTGACTAGCGACGGGATGAAGTTGGCAGGGGAGACAGAAAGAAAATGAACAATCGTTTCATCACCTTAAATCACCTCCTTGTCTATTGCCCCTTTCCCTCAGCTGGCTCAACCCCTACCTTTTCACTCATGGCCTTTGTTCAGATCACGGCATCCCAGACAGCTGTGCCCCCGGCCGCATCACCTTTCACGCCCCACATGCAAGCTGGGTGCTCGCAGGGGTGACGGCAGCCGATAAAAGCTGTTTACAGGGCCATTCTCCGGGGCGATGTCAATGTCAGCTTCCACGTTGGCTTTGCCAGGAATGCGGGCTGTCTTCAACTCCTCAATGCACAACTCCTCAAGGCACAACGCCAACTCCGCGCCCAGAAAGTTCAGACCGGGACTTGACCCTTTCCCGGCAAGTTTCCGAGAAAGGGCTCATGCGGTCACTGAGTCACTCTGAACTGACCGTGACAGTCATCCCTTTCAGTTTCTCGCTCCACCTCGTCAGCGCAACCAGCACGGCCAGCGCTTCCAGCACTGATTGCGAGCTGGACTCCATGAAGTCCACCAGCAGCTCGTCAGTCTGTGTCTTCTCTATCGTGCTGAAGACAGCTGCCACGATGCGCCCATTGATGGACAGGATGCCACCCCGCGTCGTCCAATTTCTCCGACGTGCCCTTGAGCTCATCAATGAACTTCCCTTGCAGGCCCAGAACCATGTTGTGCTTGTCCACGATGTTCAGTGTAAGCCACAACCAGTGCAGACATGAGCCCTGGTGACCTTGGCTCTGCACTTCTCGCCCGGGCTCAAACCCCGCAGAGGTTGTTCCAGGCATAACGGGCCTCTTCGGAGTGTCCTCCTTTGGCGCCTGAAGCGCCAGAGCCCTTTCCCCCTCCACCTTTTAATCCCTTCCTCAGGTGTTGAAGCTCTTCTCGTTCTGCTCGAAGCTTCTTTTTCCGCGCCTCCCTTCTCACCTTGCTCTTCCTTCGGCCATTGCCCTCGGGCTCCACATCGTCCCAGTCCGTTTGCAGTGCATGCCTTCCGCCTCCGCCAGCTCTTCCATGGGTGTCAGGGGCTTTCCACATTGACCCTTTGCTGCCCAATGGCTGGTACATGCACCTGCTCGCTCCAATAGTCCTTGTCTCTCAGCACCCTTCGTCCCACCCTAGAGGGGCTGGTGCCCTTGGTCCATCTCCAGCTTCACCTTGGCAAGCCTCTTGGCCATGTACTCCCCTGCCCCTGTCTTCCGCAGCGGCTACCAGTCCCCAGCAACCTTGATACTGTCTGTTGAGGCGCTCCACCATGGCTTTCCATTCCATCAGTTTTGCCAATGAGATGATGCCTGTCATCACCAGCGTTGTTCGGAGCACCCGGTACGAAGCTTGTCAATGTGCAAAACAAGCTGGGCCAGGCACCATCCTTGCCAAGAAGCTCCCGTCGTCTTGCAAAACGAAGGACTGGTACTTCTGGGACTTCAAATGGCGCTTCGCAAAGCGGACAAAAATTCCAAAGTCGCAGTGGAGGTTGGCCAAGTGCCTGTCCAAGTAGCCATTGATCCCCCTGCATGAGCTCAAATTGGTCAGAAGATGGCTGGCACGAAAGACCAACCACGAAAGACCAACCCCACCTGGATCGCCTCCACAGCGGTGAGCCGCCGGCCGTCGCCGAGTCTGCAGGCTGCCACTGGAGGCAGCGCGGCCAACTCCCGGGTCGCCCAACGTGGCCGTGAAGGAGTCCCAAACCGGCGTAGCCACAGAGTAGACGGCCAACATTCCATCGATACCACGAGTGTTTGGAGGTGGCCACATAGAGCATGGCACCGGTGAGGGACCTCAAAAACAAAAATCCTTACCAGGTGGAGTAACTTGAGCCAAAATTGGCACAAAAAGCCACCTCCACCAAACTTCAACCAGCGTGTCCCTCGCAAAACTCATGCTTCGTTTTCTTTTACGAAAATACCGTAGCCAGATAGATATATTGCTTAAAACCCCCTTACAACCAGTATAGCGACCAAAAAAGAACATGGAAAAGTGTTTCCAGGATGGTATAGATGACATTCACCTCATATTCCCATGTAACCAAATTTTCTATATATATATACATATATATATCTATTTAGGGTTACGATAGCCATCAAAGGCCCGATGCTTTTTGGACCCCACTTAGACCCCAAAAGAAACCCTGGGAGACCTCCAGCGGCTCCAGAAACTGCTGCAGCGCTCCAGGACCGGAAAAGCCAAGGACATGCAGGAATTCCTCGGCAGGATCCAAAAAATAATCTGGCGATTTGGGAAAAACTCGGTAAATTATATATATATATAGAGATCAACGTCAAGACCAGGATATGGTTTTTCAAAAAAGAAATTAAATCATGTCTGCTTAGGGCTAAAGGCTAGACTATAAAAATATTTGAAAATTAAATGGACGGCAATTTCTTTTTGAAAGATCGGTTGGTTTTGACGGGAAAGCTTGCGCGACACCCCCCTAGTTCGTGGTAAAGGATATAATTTATGGTGTCTCGTTGGTTTTCACGTCGGTCAAATACCAATTGGTCAGCTTTACAAAGCACTAACATTAAACCATCCATTTTGCAGGGTGATAAAATTGACCCATCTCAGAGCCCATCTCACACGCACTCAAAGTCCGAGGGATGGAAGGGCGGATCATCGAATGCTGACATATAACAACACCAAACGGCAATATGGACCCAGAATGATTGGTGGACCTATTTAATCCTGTAGGACCTTAAAAATTGTTTGTTTCAGGAATTAGATAGATGCCTAGATTTTGTGGTTCGCAACGGGTCAAAGATGAATTGACCGACTGCCTCTTGTTTTTCCACCCTGCGGATCGCAACTTTTCAGTGCTGACTGCAGCGGACAAGCCGCATATTATTTGGCGCTGATGGTGTCTCGCGGTCACCTAGACATGTTCACCACCAGCAACAAACACACTTGCGCCTCGCAGCAGGTCATGTCTTCAACCAGCAACGAAGTTTTGAATCGTTTGGTCGCTGACAATGCCAGCTGGGTCGTACGCGTGCATGTTCAAAAACAAGACTTCAAGAAGACCCCAATTCAAATTTCCACCCACCGGCCAATACGTCCGACAGACATGATCGATGTTAAAGGGATCCCCCTGATGAAGCTGCACTCCTTTTTGGCAGGTGGGCAGACGACCCAACACCAGGAAACAATAACAAAACAAGTTACAACCGCCACGATTCGCCTCACTTTGAAATTTGTTTTCTCCTCGAAATCTTGTTGTGGCATATTTCAAAAATCGGCTTCAAAGCTGGATGCAGGAGTAGGAATGGAGGATTCCTCTGCTGCTATCGAAGTTTTTTGTGCACTGCAGGTCATCTTTGTGCGGCGGGAACAAGAACAAAACGCCGCTTTTCGGGGCGCGAAGCATGGCCGAGACATGACCGAGGATCCCAGCAACAACATGCCTGCAAGGCCTATGCCTAGACAGCTGAATATCAGTTGGGACTGTCATGTCGTCTGCCAATCTGGAGGAAACAGAAACTATATCAAATTGGTTTGCCGGTTCAACATATTGTTTGCGCATTTCTTTGCTGCTATGGCATGACACACCCCGACGAACATTCGCAGAAAACACCTGCTCATGCTCTGCTGCAGCTGCCACAAACTGACCTCACCAGCATCCAGCAGCGGCAGCAGCAGCAGCAGTGCCAGCACCACCAACAAAAACACAAAGACCAACACCAAAAACAACACAAAGACTCCAAGACTCCAAGACTCCAAGACTCCAAGGCTCCAAGACTCCAAGACTCCAAGACTCCAAGACCCCAATGCGTGGCGTAGCATCAACAACGTGATCAAGTCCAAAGGAACGTCATCACTGCCCCACCCCACCCCACCCCACCCCAATGCGTGGCGTAGCATCAACAACATGATCAAGTCCAAAGGAACGTCATCACTGCCCCACCCCACCCCACCCCAGTGCGTGGCGTAGCATCAACAACGTGATCAAGTCCAAAGGAACGTCATCTCTGCCCCATCCCACCCCACCCCACCCCATGGTGTCGCGAAACCCTGCGTACACTGGCAAATATGACATAAAAACCGCCGTGCCCTGCAGTACTGCGTCTCTTTCGGTGCGCGCGGACAAGGGTCCGGAAGGAACAACAACAACAACAACAACAACAACAACAACAACAACACCAACAGCAACAGCAACAACAACACAACAAAATAAATTACACCGGCATAGACCCCGGATAGAAAAGGTTGGAACTGATGGTTCCCAACGTGGGAACAAAAGTTTGCCATGGCAAGGAACTGCCGGTTCCCAGACCTTGAAACTTACGGTTCCCAACCTGGGAACCAGAGGTTACCATTGCAAGGAATTGCCGGTTCCGAGAAGTTAGAATTTATGTTTTCGAAGCTAAGCAACTATCATTGTAAGGAACTGCGGGGTCCCAAAGCTTGAAACTCATGGTTCCAAGCCTGAAAAAATAACGTTACCAGTGGAAGGATCTGTTGATTGCAAAAAGTTAGACCTCATGGTTCTTAATGTTGTTTTGTTTTGTTTACTGAACCGGTAACAGAGCCTTTTGTTTTGCTTAATGGACCGGTAGCGGAATGTTTGCGTTTGGCTGTTGGGCCGGCATAAAAATGTTTTTGCACGAAAAAGGCGCATGTCAAAATGATATGAACACAGTTTCTTTACAATTTTATGGTTTTGCTTAATGACCGGTACAGAACGCTTTGTTTTGCTTAATGGACCGGTACCGGAATGTTTGCGTTTGGTTCATGGCAAGGAACTGCCGGTTCCCAAAGGTTGGAACTCACTGTTGCCAACGTGGGAACCAGAGGTTACCATTGCAAGCAACTGCCGGTTCCCACAGGTTAGAAGTCATGGTTCCCAACCTGGAAACCACAGGTTACCATTGCAAGCAACTGCAGGTTACCAGAGGTTGGAACTCATGCTTCCCAACCTGGGAACCATAGGTTACCATTGCGAAGAACTTCCAATTCCGAAAGGTTGGAACTGATGGTTCCCAACGTGGGAACCAAAGGTTACCATGGCAAGGAACTGCCGGTTCCCAGACCTTGAAACTTACGGTTCCCAACCTGGGAACCAGAGGTTACCATTGCAAGGAATTGCCGGTTCCCAGAAGTTAGAATTTATGTTTTCGAAGCTAAGCGGCTATCATTGTAAGGAACTGCGGGGTCCCAAAGCTTGAAACTCATGGTTCCAAGCCTGAAAAAGTAACGTTACCAGTGGAAGGATCTGTTGATTGCAAAAAGTTAGACCTCATGGTTCTTAATGTTGTTTTGTTTTGTTTACTGAGCCGGTAACAGAACCTTTTGTTTTGCTTAATGGAGTAGCGGAATGTTTGCGTTTGGCTGCTGGGCCGGCATAAAAATGTTTTTGCACGAAAAAGGTGCATGTTAAAATGATATGAAAAAAGTTTCTTTACAACTTTATGGTTTTGCTTAATGGACCGGTAAAGAACGCTTTGTTTTGCTTAATGGACCGGTACAGAACGCTTTGTTTTGCTTAATGGACCGGTACCGGAATGTTTGCGTTTGGTTCATGGCAAGGAACTGCCGGTTCCCAAAGGTTGGAACTCACGGTTGCCAACGTGGGAACCAGAGGTTACCATTGCAAGGAACTGCCGGTTCCCAGAGGTTGGAACTCATGCGTCCCAACCTGGGAACCATAGGTTACCATTGCAAGCAACTGCCGGTTCCCAGAGGTTGGAATTCAACCTGGGAACCATAGGTTACCATGGCAAGGAACTGCCGGTTCCCAGACCTTGAAACTTACGGTTCCCAACCTGGGAACCAGAGGTTACCATTGCAAGGAATTGCCGGTTCCGAGAAGTTAGAATTTATGTTTTCGAAGCTAAGCGGCTATCATTGTAAGGAACTGCGGGGTCCCAAAGCTTGAAACTCATGGTTCCAAGCCTGAAAAAGTAACGTTACCAGTGGAAGGATCTGTTGATTGCAAAAAGTTAGACCTCATGGTTCTTAATGTTGTTTTGTTTTGTTTACTGAGCCGGTAACAGAACCTTTTGTTTTGCTTAATGGACCGGTAGCGGAATGTTTGCGTTTGGCTGCTGGGCCGGCATAAAAATGTTTTTGCACGAAAAAGGCGCATGTCAAAATGATATGAACACAGTTTCTTTACAATTTTATGGTTTTGCTTAATGGACCGGCACAGAACGCTTTGTTTTGCTTAATGGACCGGTACCGGAATGTTTGCGTTTGGTTCATGGCAAGGAACTGCCGGTTCCCAAAGGTTGGAACTCACTGTTGCCAACGTGGGAACCACAGGTTACCATTGCAAGGAACTGCCGGTTCCCAGAGGTTGGAACTCCTGGTGCCCAACCTGGGAACCATGGGTTACCATTGCAAGCAACTGCCGGTTACCAGAGGTTGGAACTCCTGCTTCCCAACCTGGGAACCATAGGTTACCATTGCAAAGAACTTCCGGTTCCCACAGGTTAGAAGTCATGGTTCCCAACCTGGGAACCAAAGGTTTCCATGGCAAGGAACTGCCGGTTCCCAGACCTTGAAACTTACGGTTCCCAACCTGGGAACCATAGGTTACCATTGCAAGGACCTGCCGGTTCCCAGAGGTTGGAACGCATGGTTCCCAACCTGGGAACCAGAGGCTACCATTGCAAGCAACTGCCGGTTCCCACCTGGAAACCACAGGTTACCATTGCAAAGAACTTCCAGTTCCTAAAGGTTGGAACTGATGGTTCCCAACGTGGGAACCAAAGCACAGCACGCTGCACAGCACCCTGCACAGCACCCTGCACAGCACCCTGCACAGCACCCTGCAGAGCACCCTGCACAGCCCCTTTGCCAGACTTCGCCACCGCAGTCTGGACAGCACCCTGCACAGCACCCTGCACAGCACCCTGCAAAGCACCCTGCACAGCACCTTCGCCAGACTCTGCCACCGCAGTCTGGACAACACCCTGCACAGCACCCTGCACAGCACCCTGCACAGCACCTTTTTCCAGACTTCGCCACCGCAGTCTGGACAGCACCCTGCACAGCTTCCTGCACAGCACCCTGCACAGCACCTTTGCCAGACTTCGCCACCGCAGTCTGGACAGCACCCTGCACAGCACCCTGCGCAGCACCCTGCACAGCACCCTGCACAGCACCCTGCACAGCACCCTGCACAGCACCCTGCACAGCACCTTTGCCAGACTTCGCCACCGCACTCTGGACAACACCCTGCAGAGCAACCTGCGCAGCACCTTTGCC